TGTTTTCTGATATTTCTAAAAGTTAAGAACACATTTTTTTCTGAGGTTTTAACCAAAGGTGTGTGTTAACCTGACTTTAGACGCTTACTGGTGGTGATGTGGACCATGGTTTGGATCCAGGAACTTCTTTTTTCTAACTTGAAAAGTTATGAACAGATTTGATTTTCTTTTCTTTTTTCTTTTTTCTTTTTTTTTACCTAGGGTTTGCCTAATTGATATTCCATAAAATTTTGGTGGTGATACGGATCATTTGGCAATCCTACCCCCCATATGGGTGGGGGTTTGCATTTTCGAAACGTTTTCCTGATAGATCAACCTATGTATAATGAAAATATAAAGAAAAGAAAATACTCCATATGAACGGCATTTCATTTTTTTTTTTTTTTTTTTTTTTTGTATGAAAAATTTCTCCATTATCGTTTTTTGGATGTTGGCAGATTTTTACAAATTATTCCAAAAAAAAACAAGGTTGGTCTCGTCTTACATGAAATTTATTAATAAACTTCCCAAGAACACTCTCAAGCCACAAAGACCCAGATGGCAAAGCTCAACGTAAGCGTGCGCGGCATTCCTCATTAGGAAGTGAACACTCAACTCATGCCACCAAATCTGGGAGTGAAGAAATGATCAGAGTAGATGATTCCCCAATCGATGACTCCATCACTACCAGTCAGCTTCCGCAAACAGACTGCCCGCCCATAAACCTTCATAATCCAGATATACCTTGGATGACACATCCCTGAAGGAGACCCTGTGAATGCACAACTTGATCTTGGATATGAAGACTCAGACACTGACCAAGGGAATTATTCAGACTATGAACACTAACGGACAACAGCTAGAGAAGGTCACCATACTTCAATGGAATGTCAATAGCCTCCAGTCACATCTCCCCCTCTTATGCCTGGCCCTTGATGAACACAAATATGATGTGGTCATCCTACAAGAATCCCTTCTAAATTCAAACCTTTCCATCTCCAACTATACAGCCTTCCATAAGTTTCATACTCCAGGTACCAACCGTGGCATTTCTATTCTCGTTAGAAGTGATATACATGCCAAAACATCAAAACCCTTTGACCCTTGTGGTCTAGAAACGGAGTTTCAGGGCCTGACAATAGCATTTCAGAACCTTGAATTACAGGTCTACAATATATACAATCCCCCCAGAAACAGTGCCAAGCTAAAACTGGATCACATATTTGCAGCCTTGGGAAGTGCCCCGTCCATCCTATGTGGAGACTTCAACGCACATCACGCAATTTGGAATAACTCTGCCTCCAGCTCAGCAAACACTACCTGCAGATCAGGCCAATACCTGGCTCAATTGCTCCAAAACTTTCCAGCTGCGTCCCTTATGAAAACAGGAACGACTCACACACGAGGAAGCGTTCTTGATCTTGCTTTTCTTTCCACTAATCTCACCCCATCTGCTACATGGAATGCCCACATATCCCTTTCATGAACTCAGGACTATGCTTAACATAGTCTCTGGAAAATACAAAAAATAGCCTTGCCATCCTCAAGCACAAGATATTGCTGACAATCTATAGATCACATCCTTCAAGACCAGAGGAGACTCTAGCATACTTACCAGATCAACCATCCATAGACTCAATACTTTAAGACCAGAAAGACTAGAAAGGTTCATCACGGAAGCCATCAACACAGTTGCGGAAATAGACATACCCTTCACCGCACAGGAAATGCGGACTGCCAGCAAAACAGGGAGTGACACAGCCCCAGGCAAGGACAAGATCTACTCCATGATCTCCCATCTTGGTTCACATGCCACACAAATCCTGCTACACCTTTTCAATCTGTCCCTCACAGCTGGCCACCTTCCTAAGTGCTGGAAAGATGCCGTCATTCAGCCAATACCAAAGCAAGAAGTAGGTGCATATCGTCCAATATCACTTCTTTCTTGCCTCAGTAAGACTATGGAAAGAGCAGTTCTGAAAAGATTGACGTCTCTGATTCCCCACCCACACCGATACACCTTCGCCTATTGCAAAGGTCTTGGCACCCGAGACAACCTTGCCGCCATTCACAGCCTTACGGACGGAAAAGATGCTGTAGTCGTCTTTCTTGACCTTGAAAAAGCTTTTGAACTGGTGAATAGAGATGCCATTATTAGTACACTGGCTAAAAGAGGAATCGTTGGTAAGTTGCTAGCTTGGTGCAACGACTACCTCACACAAAGGAAAGCATGTGTACGATTTCAAGGGCACATATCCAACCCTCTTCAATTTGAAAATGACACTCCTCAAGGGGGCATAGTAAGTCCATTTCTATTTAACATCCTCATAGCAGAATTACTTTCCACTGAAACCCCACTTGATGTACATATTCTTGCTTATGCTGAAGATGTACAATTGATATCAACCGGTAGATACAGGCTCACCAATGCCCAACAAATTTTAGACACCATATTCTCCAAATGCAAAGATCTCGGCATTAAGATTAACACTAATAAGACCAAAGCCTTGCGACTCAGAAGATGGATCCCAAATCAATTTTTATACATCGACACACAACAAATTGCATGGGAATCATCATACAAATGTCTTGGCGTTTTCTTCAACAGTCAATGTGACTCCTCGACCCAGCTATGCCATGTTCGCCAGAAGATTAAGTCTTGCATAAATGTTCTACGCAGACTGTCAGCCACAGATCTGGGTGCTGGCTTCCATGTTCGCAGATTTTTTTTATATCCAAGGTGTACGCTCAATTATTGATTAGTGCTACATCCCTCAATCTGATTCCGGCCCAGGTCAGCAAACTTGAAACCATACAGAACAAATGCATGAGAGTCATCCTTGGCGCTCCTAGGTGGACCCGACTTGACAACTTAAGACTCGAGACTAGATTCGTCTCCCTCGACACTAGAATATCTTTCCAAGTTGCAACTTGGAGAGAGCTTCTTCCTTGCAAGCTGAGCTCTTTGCCATCAGAGCAGCCCTCTCCCACGCCCTTTTTCTGGAAGAACCTAAACTCCACATTCTAACTGACTCACTATCCGCACTAAATGTTTTACAAGATTTTCATTCCGATAATATAAATCTTGTGACAACCATTCTCTTCAAGTGAAATCAGTTAAACGAACAAGGAAAGTTGGTAACCTACATGTGGATACCAAGTCATGTAACGAAACAGCCGACAGAGCTGCGAAAGACAGCCTGACTCATAACCACATCAGGAGAATTAAACCCAGTCTTGGCAGCCTCAAATCGCGTGCCTGGGCCACTGCTAAAGAAATCGCTAGAACTAAACACCTTGTCTGGGTAGAGGCTGGCTCCCCATCAGCTACATGGTACCAAATCGTCACTGATTATGAGACTATCACTATTCCCAAGTCATTGCCAAGATGGGAGGCGGTCATCATCCACAGACTAAGGCTTGGCTACAGATGCAATTGGGAATTTGTCGTCCGTGTTCCCAAAGAATGTGATCACTGTGATGATCTCGTTGACGAACCTCCCCTGCACTATACACGTGAATGCCAGAGTACTAACCAGCATATGCCCACCTCATTTACGAAATTTACCGCATTCACCTGTTGAAGCAAAGGCTCGACTGGCTGCCCAATGCATTAAAACTATGCTAGACATCGAAGAAACCTTCCAAACCCTCTCTATTTTGCGCCTCCTAGGGGATACGGCCATGTACAAATACCGTTGCCAATGGATTCACTGATATACCTATGATATAACACTAATGTAATAGAACATACACAGAAGAATAACATCAACACCGGGTGGCATAAGCGAAACTCGGTGTGTGTGTGTGTGTGTATATATATATATATATATATATATATATATATATATATATATATATATATATATATATATATATATATAATCGTCAGTTCTCCCGGAAGTTCTCCAGTACTCCCGTGATCAGACACGACGACCTCGCTCGCCATGTGACCTTGCCTGCACCTGCCACCTCTGTGTTGTGTATAGCGTAAATAGCTTTGAATTTATTCCTCCAGTATGTTTCCTCTGGTGTTTCACTGTCAACCTGGCCGATCTGATCCACGTCACAATCGAACCTTGACAGCCCCCCAAAAGGATTAAACGAGATATTTGCATATCGTTCACAGATTTCTCTCCTTCGCCATTTGTTTTGATTTATTTCCAAAGAACAAAAAATACGTACAACGATACTATTGCTAGTTTTTAAACCGACAAAGATGCAAACCATATGAAGATTGCTGTAAATGTTTATATATGAACATTGCCTGGTTTTCAGATCTGTCCTCATAATGCTGATCTGATCAATAAACATTTCCCTAGAAAAAAAGAAAGTAGCTATTAACATGCATGTATTGTAATGTACATGTGCCTGTTTGTTTCTCTAATTGTATCTGTTTGATTATATATACCGTATACCTATAAACCAACACAAAGAAAAAGACAAGAGGAAGGAATCAGACGAACGAAGAGACAGATGCAGAAAACGACGCCTTGCCTTCTCCACACGGACGTCGAGGTCCTGCGTGAGGCCCTCTAGACACCAAAGGCCGTGAACGTGATCTTGCAGGCGTCGCCCATACCCTGAAGGCAGGTCATCTTGCGCTGTCGTCAGTTCTGCCAGCAGTTGGAATCGTTGGCTCAATTTTTCTTGGCTCTGCAAAACAACGGGGTTTAAGGGAAAACTGTCTGAAGCTCAAGGTAGTGGAGGAGGAAGAACGGAGGAGGAGGAGGAGGAGGAAGAAGAAGAAGAAGGAGAGAGAAAGGAGCTGGAAAATCAGAAAACGAAGAAGAAAACAAAAAGAAGGAGGCGAGAGAACAAAATACAAATATACGTAAAAATAAAACCGGGAAAAAGTATGTTCCTTTTACCTATGTCCTTAAGAACAGATTTATCAAACAAGTGCGTAAACTTTGTTTTTGACAATCATTAATGTAAATTATTATTGTCTCACCTTAGTAAGGGTATTGATGGTCTCTGAAGTCCTCTCTTGTCCCCCCGAAGGGTGCATATCTCCTGTTAAGTGAAGTACATTATGTTATATAAATTCACACACAATTACTGACATGTACATTTATGCATATGCATGCGTGTGTGTGTAATATGTATTATTATGTGTATTCCCCTTTCTCTCTTTCTCTTACCCACCTCTCTCTTCTCATCTCTCTCTCCCTCTCTCTCTCTTTCTCTTTTCCACCTCTCCATTCCCATTGCTGTCACTCCTCTCTCTCTCTCTTTCACTCTCCCTCTTTTTTACTCTCTCTATCTCTCTCTTCTCTCTCTCTCTCTCTCCCCTCATTCTCTCTCTCCCTCATTCTCTCTCTTTCTCATTCACTCATTCACTCACTCAATCACTCCGTCCCTTTCTCCCTCCTTTCTTCCCAGCTTCTCCCTCTCCCCTTTTGCTTTCTTTCATCCTTCTCTTCTCACCTTAACTCGTTATTCCTTCCCTTCTTCCCTTGCTCTATCTCTTCTCTCCTTGCCCTCCCTCTCTCCTTTCCGTCTTTCCTTCCTCCGTTCCATCTCTCCTTCCTCCCTCCCTTCCTCCGTTCCATCTCTCTCCTTCCCCCCCTCCTCCCTCCTACCCTCTCTCCCTCCCTCATTTACTCATTCCCTCAATCCATCTCCCTTCTCTTTCCCTTCTTCCTTCCTCTATTTCTCCCCCCTCCCTCCCTCCCTCCCTATCTTTCCTTTCCCTTTCTTCCTCGCTTTCCCTCCCTCCCCTCATTCTTTTGCCTCTCCCTTTCCTTTCCCTCCCTCCTTTCCCTACCTTCCCTTCCTACATTTCCCTTCCTCCTCCCTCCATCTATCCTCCCCTTCTCCATCCATCCCTTTATTTCCTTCTTCTTCCTCCCTCCATTTCTCTCCCTTCTCATATCTTTCCCTTTCCCTCCCTCCTCCTCCCCTCCTCCAATCCCCCTTCCCGCTCCTTCACTCCATCCAATCATCCATCCCTCTCTCCCTTCCCTTCTGTCCTCCCTCTCAATCTCCATTTTTCTTTTTTCTCCACTCTTCCCTCCCTGCATCTCCTCCCCCTCCCTTCCTCCCTCGCTTCTCTCCCCCTATTCTTGCCTTCTCTTCTTTCCTTACTCCATTTTCCTCCCTCTCCTTCCCCCTCCCTCCACACATCGCCCCTCTTCCTTTCCCTTTTCTACCTCTCTGCCTCACTTCCCTATTCCTATTTATTCTCTCTCTCTCTTTCCCTCCCCTTCTCTTTCCCTTCCTTCCCTCCTTTCCTTCATCTACAGTGACCCTCGTTTTTCGCGGGGTTACGTTCCAAAAAGAACCGTGATAGGCGAAATCCGTGAAGTAGTAACCTTTTTTACACATTATACAATGAAATACTCTACAATACATTGAAACCAAAGAACAAAAGAATTTTTACAGGCCCAAGCATTTGTTTAACAAATAAAAGTACTGTATAAACTTTTTTACAAATAACTACTGTACTGTAAAATAATAATTTTAATCATTAATACGAACAGAAGCTTCATGGGTTTTAGAGAAAATTTGCAAACTTAAATTTGGCAAACTGTTTTACGTACATGTACATATTAAACCGTAACGTTATTGAAACACAGGTAGAGAAGAAGCGGAGAGACTGTTTAGCCAATCAGAATGCAGAACACAATGCACAATGCAAATCCGTGAAGCAGCGAGAACGCAAAGGTGAACCGCGTTATAGCGAGGGTTCACTGTATTGTTCTTTTTCCACTAACCTGTGCAAGTTTCTCGTATTCCTTGCTCGGCTTGTAATACTCCAGGACGAGTTTGATTAACTCAGGCGCTTTGTCCATCGCAAAGCATGAGAAGTTTTCCTGCAAAATTCTCGAACGGGTCAGCTGGGTCGGACATCTAAAATAAAAATGAAATAAAAATAAGGTAAATAAGTCAAGACACAATTACATGCAACGTATTATAAGTTTTCTACTTACTATTACTTTGTGGAGCCAAAGAAGCGTTTCAAAATTAGATACAAGGAGGAAGAGAGGAAATAGATAATGATTACACACACACACATACACACACACACACACACACACACACATACATACAATACATAATATATATATATATATATATATATATATATATATATATATATATAATATATAATAGAGAGAGAGAGAGAGAGAGAGAGAGAGAGAGAGAGAGAGAGTTGTACAAGAAGTCTTGACCGTTCGGAAGCATACTTTGTCGTTCAGGACCTGTTGTTCCTCTCGTCACACAGCAGTATAAACACATTAAAAGTTGCGGGCAACCAGAAGATAATGATAACCGTTGTTATCAAAATATTTTAGTGTTTGTCTGTTGGAGAGAGCTCTGGCATCACAGTGATTATAAACCTATGCGGTGTAGAGAATAAAGACTGGTATAATAATGCATTTGGGTAATGAAGGCCTCGGGGGGGGGGGGTCGGACCGCGGCCTCGTTGTCCCGCTCGGCCTGGCAGGTTGTCCGGACGAGCAAGACCAGGTGTTCTGAACGAAAGCAGTGTTGGGGGGGGGGGGGGGTAATCACAACATGCGGGAACATTGTTACCGATGCATACAATTTTTCGTTGCTATGCGAACATTTGACGCGCGGGAAGCAACACCCGAAGATTTGCGGACCGCAACACTCACTCATGTGCAAAATGTTCGCAAAAATGTATTTTACTTTTTTTTTTCATAGTAAATGGCTTTTTGATATTTTGCACAATAAATAATGATTTCCTATGGTTTGAATCAATTATTCTACAAATAATTTGATGAAAAATATGTGCCTATTTTCACACCACGTTTGTATTTTCAAGAAGCTATTGAGACTTTGATTCTAGAGATCGACACCAACTGTAAGTACTAATATCAAATGTAGTGGAATTACCATACTCAAATGTATTTGTCATTCTGTACACTTGTGCTCCTCCCAAGCCGCCAAATGTCTTCCTCGCAAATGTGAAGATCTTGTGAGGAATATACACAACCATTTCTCCCATAGCGCCAAAAGAATTCATATATTCAAAGAATTTCAAGATTTTTGTGATGTAAAACCTCACAAATTACTACATGTGTACCAGACAAGGTGGTTATCATACCATGCGGCTGTAAAAAGGTTGCTGGAACAGTGGGAGCCTCTCAAACTGTATTTCTTTAATATCAGGGCAGAGGAAAGACTCTGCAACAATAAGCATATTGGACACAATGAACGAACCATCTACAAAACTCTATTATACTTTTCTTAATTTAATTTTGCCTAAATTCAACCAGCTCAACCTACTCTTCCAACAGCAAGGACCAACCATCCAAGTCCTACACAAAAAGTGCCATGAACTCTACACAGATTTGTTGTGATGCTTTATAAAGAGAAATGAAATAAATAAGGCAGACGATAGAACATCCATTGATATTGAGAACGATTCAAATCATCTTCCATTTTACCAGATGTATCTTGGATCAGAAATGCACTGCCTCATACAATCAGAGGAATACAGACACAACCAAGATTTGCTAGAGAATGTATTCAGCACCTGCAAACAATTTCTCATCATTGCTTGCTAAGAAATGAAAAAAAGGTTCCCTCTTGCAAACAAGCAAATTCAAATGTGCCACATTTTTGTCCCCCAAAACTTTCTGGATGAAGGATCTAGTGTCAATGCCATCTCTGAGAGACCTTGTCACTGCTTTTCCGAGGATCTCTACTAATCCACAACATCTGGATAATGAATGGAGAGCAGTAGACCATAATCTAATTCCGGAAGAAATGAGGAATATTATAAACCCGGAAACATTTTTTACAGCAATCGGTACCCTTCGGGATGAGCTAGGACATCGCATGTTCGAAACCATTTCCGAATTTGCTCTACAAATATTAAGTTTACCTACATCTAATGTTGTTGTAGAAAGGTTATTCTCGAAGGTAAACTTGTTGAAATCAAAGATCAAAATAAAATATCAACTTCTACTCTCACATCCCTCATATTATCTTCTGAAATGATAAAAGTTGCAGGAGGATGTGTCAAGTTTAAACCACATCTACAATTGGTTAGATTTATAAAAAAAAAAAAAAAAAAAAAAAAAAACTGTATAAAAGTTTTTTTTTTGTTTTGTTTTCAAATTAATTGTAAATACTGTATATGAAATATATATATATATATATATATATATATATATATATATATATATATATTGTGTGTGTGTGTGTGTGTGTGTGTGTGTGTGTGTGTGTGTGTGTGTGTGTGTGTGTGTGTGTGTGTGTGTGTGTGTGTGCAGTTGTTTTCTAAAATACATTGTCTTATTTTGTGTATGTTTTTTTTTTTTATTACCATCATTTTGTGTACGTAAAATTTTCTTCAGTCCCCATTGATATCTATTTTTTTCTTTGTTTACGCTATTAAAAACTGTTGTGCGAGCAAGTGCGCTGCGCAGGACGAGAACCCTGGCGGGGAATCCCTCAGCTCTAAAAACATATCTGATATCAGAACAAATATACATCGAGAAGTGCCCTCATTCCCCTGTGCTGACCATTACGAATTATCAATAATAGACCGAACAGTAATTTGCATACTGCATGCCGTGTCCTCGGTAATTTTCACAGTAGTTTATGTCAAAATTCCTTGGCAAGCTTTGGCCATGACGTTACTATCTTTGAGAATAGTGACTTCTGGCAACTACTGACCGAATTCCCTGAGGTGTCGGGCGTACGATGAGTTTAAAGAAAGAAAATGGGAGAGAGGGGGCGGGAGAAAGAAGAGGGAGTAAGAAAGGATTAAGATGGAAGGAGGAGGAGAGAGTGAGGAGATGAGATAGTGTCATATGATCCCTCATAATTATTTCCTTTGAAATAATATGATTAATTTACTTTATGTTATGATACAACTCACGTATTCCCTCATATTTTGCATGCGTACGTAACCCCAATGTAAACACCAGGTGTTGCATGCTCCTCATGAATGAATCTGTTCTGTCAGTACTAGAGTTAAATACCATCAAGAAAGATATGGAACTTTATTAAAGAACTAGAAGGTAATATAAAATCAATAATTACCCAATAATTCATAATGACCTACCGGTCCAAGATACAGAACTCAAACTAACACTATAAAGAGAATTTCAAAGTATAATAACAAAAATACAAAAAGCTTGTTAACAAATACTGAATTTAAAAGCATAACAGAACAACCAAGTACAGAAGACAAATAAAAAAAGCTCCAGTTAAAAGAATTTACTATAACAATAAAGAATGCAAAAAAAAATAATAAAACATATGGGCCAGACAAATCCCTTATGAATTCTATTAAAAATGCCCGAATAATACAATAGTAAAAATTGTTTAATAACTTATGGGAAAAGGGGAATATCCCCAAGAATTAAAAAATCATTAGTTAACCCTATACTAAAACCAGGAAAAAACAACAGATAAAAAATCCTACAGATTTATAAGCAGGATTTCAAGCCTAGGAAAAATTATGATAAAAATAGACTGAAATGTGGTTGGAAAGTAATAATAAATTAAGCCAAGACCTGACAGGATTTAGACCAAATTATTCCACAATAGATACTCTGCAAATAATAGATTTACATATTAATAAAACCTACAAAGAAAAAAAAACGCAATAATAACATATTTAGACTTAAAAAAAGCATTCGACACAGTAAACTATAAAGCCATCATAAAAAAAAAGCATCAAAACTCGAATAATGGCACCCCACTTAAATGGATATAATTTTTTTAAATAACACATAAAATAACAATAGGCAACAAAATATCAGAAGGTAAAATAAAGAGAGACTACCACAAGGTTCCCTTTAAGTCCCCTTCTATTCAACATAATGACTACGACCTAACGCTAACAAAAAAAAAAAAACATATTAAAGTAATATATGCAGACGATATCACAGTATCAACAACTCACAAAGACCTAGCAGAAACCAAAAACAAAATAGAAGTAGGTTTAAAACGAATCATTGAATGGGCTAATAATGGGAACAAAAAAAAATCTAACAAAAAGTAATATCATGCGCTTCACAAAAAAATAAATAAAAAATAAGACAGATACCAACAATAAAGATAAACAATGAAGAACTAAAATTTACGACCAAACAAAATACTAGGACTGGAATTCGTCGCTCCAGAACTAACATGGAGAAATCACATCAATGACTTAAAAAAAATGCTCAAATAGAATAAATATAAGAAAAAAACTACTAAGTACCACATGGGAGCTAATAGAGAAACGATGATAAAGTTTTATGACATCTTTATTAAACCAAAAAAAAAAAAAAGAATATGGTGTAGCAATCTATGGCACAACAAATAACACAGAAATAAAAAAATAAAAAAATAGAAACAATCCAAAATAACACCTCAAGAATAGCCACAGGTTGCTTAATAACAACTCCAGTTACAACTTTATACACCCTAACATATAAGATGTATCAAAAACAAATTCAAAGAAAAGAATTAACTCAAATGTTAAAAACCCAGAAAAAAACAGAAAATACTCATATAAAAAAACTGATAACAAAATAGAACACAATCCATAAAAGACAAAAGAAGCTTAATACACAGAGTCTTGAAACTTGTAAGGAATTACAAAATAATATAAAAACAAAAGCAGTGCCAAACATAAACTCCCATTCCACCATGTTAGGACATTTTGAAAATATAAATACAAAATTTTTGGACTATCAAGAAAAAAATCTCCCAGAGCAAAGTAATAAAATCACATTATGCAATGTTAGAAAACATAAAATACCTAAATTTATAATATATATATATATATACATATATTATATATATATATATATATATATATTATATATATATATTTACAGACGGTCAAAAATAAAACAGTATTAACTCTACTTCAGCAGCAATTTACATTCAAGAAAAAAAAATAACAACAATATGGAAATTACCGAACAATACTAAATAACAGAACTGAACGTTTTGCTCTAAAAAAAGATTTAAATATATTCAAAATAATGAATTATTGAAATCAGTAATATCTTCAGACTCAAAATCTGCTCTACTTCTAATATCCAACTCGAGACCAAAAAATTTTAACACATAATATTTAAAATACAAGAAATCATACAGAGAAGAGAAAAAAAGAAGAGAGAGAGAGAGAGAGAGAGAGAGAGAGAGAGAATAAAGAAAGAGAGAGAGAGAGACGGGGGGAAAGGAGTGAAAACGAAAACGATGTTAATTGTGATGTTGATGATGACGACGTATTACTACATGATAATAATGAGAAAAGAATCCAAAAGAATACCAATGAAGATTTTAAAGAAAATGGCATGAACATTATGTCAATAGGTTTTATAAGCCATTAGTCGATTTTCTTGTTTAATTAATGCGTTAAAGCGTACAGATCCTTGTCCTTTAAACAAGCACTGTTATTGGACGCTACGAAACACAGACAACTTCTGCACTCACTTTCGTGTGGATATCAAATGTGGATATCAAATGTGGATATCAAATGCCCACGAAGACTTGTCTGCGGGATCACTACAGCTAGAATGAACAGCTGCAGAGGTATTCAGTCAGGATGGTACGCTGTACGGTGCGCCCGGTGGCTGTAAGATAAGAAAATGTCGCGAAACGTTTTGAAGACGAGAGATACCGCATCGTAGTAGCCATAACACGGGGGGGGGCGACTGAGAGCATTTTTCTTAGAAATTTTTCGTTTGTTCCTGTTCTTTGCCTATAATTTTTTTCTACGGTTTGATTTTATTTTTTTTTATGTATTTATTTTATTTCATTTTTACTGTATAGGTTAGACTTTTATGTTGTTGTTGTTGTTTTTTTTGTTGTTTACCATTTGGAGTGCGATGCAAGTCTGGAATAAATCGATTATTTCTTACGTTTAACATCGAACACTTGTCGCAACTTGCATTTCTCACGCTGTATTCGCCTCTCAAACGTACTTTTATGAGGATTTTTTTTTTTTTTTTTTTTTTTTTACGAATTTCTCGCAGGGTTTCTCAACATAAGTTCGCCGATTCGTAGGCAAGCAATCACTCTTTCGTCATACAAAACTAGTACGTGTTCCATATTCGTACATATATGTATATACATACACAGATACATATACATATGCATATACATACACAGGTACATATACATATACTCGCTCGTCATACAAATACAGTACGTGTTCATATTCGTACACATATGTATATACATACACAGATAATATACGTGTGCATACATGTACATATACATATGCATTACACACATGCCACACATATCTATAAATGTATCTATGTATGTATCTATATATATACATACATGTTATGTGTATTATGTATGTATATATGTTTACACACATATACATATATAAATACTTATGTGTTTGCATATGTATATGTATACATAAATACACATACTGTATATGTATACACATATATGTACGTATATGTTTATAATAGTGTAAGGAAACCTTTGCAACACTGCCTATGAGCATCCTACAATAGCGATGTCAAAAAAATCACGTTTTTGTTTATCGGCTGTTTTTGCCTTTGTTGTTTTGCTCTTTCTTTACATATATTGTTTGTTTGTTTTATTTCTCATTTTGTGTTTTAGTTTTAGCCTGCCTGAGAGTCGTTCTCTTTGGTTTCTTTTGTATATACTTTTGTTTTTACTGCGTCTTTATTTTTTAACCAGTTCTTATTGGATATATTGAGTAATAATGTATCTTTTTGTTTTGTTTTGCTTTGTTGTTGTTTTTTTACTTTTTTCTTATTACCCTATTTATCATAAGATAGATGCTGCTGCTGACTCATCTAGAGTGCAGGCACATGTCAAATATTTATGTACATCTGATTTTTTTTCTCGTATTTGTATGTTTCTCTTAATCTATATTTCGACATCCCACTTCATTTTTTTTTTCTTATTGTAATCTGATTTTATTTTATATTATTTTACGTGACTGATGACGTCATAAAGTGTATACACATGACCCATTTCCCTCCAAATACAGTCTATATCAGTCTGTGCATGTATTACTATCCTTTTTTTTTTTTTTTTTTTTTACCTGAGAACGTTATTTAGAAATGTTATTTTTTACCTTTTTTACCTGAAAACAATTGCCAGAGTCACAGTAAATAAGAAAGTTAAGTCTTGAGTTCCTGATATTTTTATTTTAAAGGAGCTGGACGGGTCTCTCTTCTATTAAGGAAACGGAAGGGAAGGTGGGAGGGCAAGGAGAGAAGAGGTAGAGCGAGGGAGGGAGGGAGGGAGGAGGGAGGGAGGGTAAATGGAAGGATCGCAAGTAGAGCTGGAAGGAATAAACAGAAGAAGGAGAGATAATGCGAAAGAGTGAGAAGAGAAGGTTGAAGGAAAGAAGGGTGAAGAGGAGTGAAGGAAGAAAAGAGAGGGAGAAGCTGAAAGAAAGGAGTGATGGAGGAAGAGAGGGAAGGAGAGAGTGAGTGAAGGAACAAGAGTGAAGAGGAGTGAAGGAAAGCAAGAGAGGGAGAAGCTGGGAAGAAAGGAGGAAGGGAGGGAGGGAGGGAGAGTGAAGGAACAAGAGCAGACTTCAGAAGACATCAACGCCCTATTTGAGGTGAGACAATAATATTGATATTATTATTATTATTATTATAAACGTCAAAAATGGTCTCATTCTGAACAGAATATATATATATAATATATATATATATATATATATATATATATATATATATATATATATATATATATATATATATGTATATGTTTGTGTGTGTGTGTGTGTGTGTGGTGTGTGTGTGTATGTATGTATGTATTCTATTTTGAATATAGTAAAAGCTTCGTGCCTAGTAATAGTATACCAGTCATGGGGGATATGTTTTCTTTTGTTGTTCGTGCTGGACTGGGTGTATTTTGAGGGAAGGGCCTGTTGCTAAGGGGAAAACTGACAACATCAGCCGCCATGAGACTGGTAACTGTTGGGGGGGGGGGGGTGAGAGACGGTCCTCGTCGAGAACGGTATTCACAGTTAAAGGCGACAGGGAATTGTAACATGTTTAATAATAGGGGGAAGGTACATAGATATGTATGTACTATATAATCAGTTTGTTGTTGCCTCCACTCCGAACAGGGAAAAAAAAAACAATCACAGCAGCAGCCGGACGAGGATGCTACCTCGTGGCGGCCATCTTGGAGGACGAGGCATCCTGACCAGAAATCTCAAATATCCGCCCCTCGGTTAATCATCGGTGTGAGAATCTCGTCGAGAGATATCCAGATATGCAGATGTCAGGACAATGATAAATCAAGGGGGCAGTACCAATTATTGGAGAACTAGTAACTTTTGGAGTCGGTCTCATGAACATTGTGTTTTGTTATTTTCACTCGATTCGCACTTACCACACCTGAGCCTGGTTGACCTAAGGTGACCTACATCTCCCCCTCGAGCAAGCCCTTTGAACTAACTCCCTTTGTCTAGACTGAAAAAACATCTCCCGGAGCCAGCACAAAAGGACACGGCCGTCAGACAAGAGAGGAGAGCAGACGAAGACACGGCAGACGGCAGGCAGACGACGGTCTTTCCCGTCACCGCTCCGCCCTCGCACCTGGGCACGGATCTCTCCAGGGTCACACATTCTACCTCTCCTAATACACCCTCCAGCAAAGTCCCCTTTCACTCACCTGCTCTAAGTTCCCAACTCTTACCTTGACAACTGGTGACAATTAACCATCAAGATCGTCCACAAGTACTTCACCTCTAACATAAACACAACTTCTCACTACTCCTACCAACAAACTATTTTGTGGCTTTATTCCCTTAGAATTTTATAATCATAACAAATTCAGGGTTACCTTTACCAATTAATGCATTAATGACAGCATAATTAGAGTGTCACTGCTTCTGCCCGATGACACAATTACTTTTCTACGTTTGTTTTGCAATTATGTTCCTTAATGTAAACAATATTAAATGAAGAAACATACCAAGAACATATTTTCCTCTACTAACTTAACTAAAACCCACTAACATATTTCCCTTCTCAAAAGAATGTGTTCTCCTAATAGATGTATATAAGAGTTAACAATAAAGTGCGAAATTATATTACAAAAATGAATATTTGAAAGTGCCGCTAAACAGAACTTGTTTCCCCCCTCCCCCCCCTCTCTCTCTCTCTCTCTCTCTCTCTCTCTCTCTCTCTCCTCTCTCTCTCTCTCTCTCTCCTCTCTCTCTCTCTCTCTCTCTCCATCTCTCTCCACTCCCCCCCTCCTGTCTGCCTCTGCCTGGCTGGTGGTATTTTCCTCTGTCTCTGTCTTTTTCTTCTCTTTATGTATTTCTATGTCTTTCTCTCTCTCTCTCTCTCTCTCTCTCTCTCTCTCTCTCTCTCTCTCTCTTCTCTCNTATATAAAACAACTAATAGGGAAATGGCCGCTAGCATAAAGCCGCGATCAGGATAATATCTGAAAGCACAAAACCCCAGCTGGGAAAATGTCCACCTATAAAACCTCAAGCGAGGAAATGCTTAAAACTAACTCATGGAAAAATGGCCACCATGACAAAAAGAGTGGGAGGGGAAAAAACCGTTAGGGAAAATGTCCGCCTTACCGCTTGTTACGTGTACCTATTTCAGACCCCAATGGCCATATTACTCTTCTGACCATGCCCTCCAAGAAAGAAATTTAAAACGGAATAAGAAAAGAAGTTTAAAAATACATTAAATTCATGAAAATCCTCTGATAACGTCTTTTTTTGTATCAGTCAGCCAATCAGCGTCCATATTCAGGCCAGCCAATAAGAGACCAAAGATCTCAGCTGATCCAGAGAAATCAGTTGGGAAAGAACAGTTGCATTATTTCTTCATTATTATTCACCACTGAACCTTATTAAAGAAGGTAAGCACAGATTTGCGTTAAAATTTCGTTTTATTTTCAAGATTGAGACTTGAAACTGATTGTGTTTGTGATGAAATAACAAAAGGTTGATTTTTTTTAACTGTTATTGCTTGTGAAATATATATTGAAATATCAATTCGAGTGTTGGAAAGCATTTTTGACAGGCAATAAAGGAATGTGTGATTTTAAAAGATTAAGAGTTAACAATAGAGTGCGAAATTATATTGCAAATAGAAATATTTGAAAGTGCCAGTAAACAGAACACCAGTTTAAGGATTTTTCACAATTTTGGAGCATTTTCTTCCCCTCCCTCTCTCTCTCCCTCTCCCTCTCCCTCTCCCCTCCCTTCCCTTCTCCCTCCCTTCCCCTCTCCCTCGCCCTCACCCTCACCCTCTCCTTCCCTCTCCCACCCTCACTCACCCCTCTCCCCTTCTCCTTCCCTCTCCCTCTCCCTCTCCCTCTCTCCTCCCTCTCCCCTTCTCTCTCCCTCTCCCTCTCCCTCTTCTCCTTCCCTCTCCCTTCTCCCTTCCTTCTCCTTCTTCTCCCTCTCTCCTCTCTCCTTTCCCTCTCCCTCTCCTCTCTCCTTCCCTCTCCCTCTCCCTCTCTCCTTCCCTCTCCTTCCCTCCTCCTCCCCTCCTCTCCCTCTCTCCTTCCCTCTCCCTCTCCCTCTCTCCTTCCCTCTCCCTCTCCCTCTCTCCTTCCTCTCCCTCTCTCCTTCCCTTCTCTCTCCCTCTCTCCTTCCCTCTCCCTCTCCTCTCTCCTCCCTCTCCCTCTCCCTCTCCCTCTCCCTCTCTCCTTCCCTCTCCCTCTCTCTCTCCTTCTCTCTCCCTCCCTCCTCTCTCTCCCCTCTCTCCCTCCCCCTCCTCTCTCCTCTCTCCCCCCTCTCTCCCTCTCTCTCTCTCTCTCTCTCTCTCTCTCTCTCTCTCTCTCTCTCTCTTCTCTCTCTCTCTCTCTCTCTCTCTCTCTCTCTCTCTCTCTCTCCATCTCCATCTCTCTCCTCTCATCTCCATCTCCATCTCCATCTCCATCTCCATCTCCATCTCCATCTCCCTCTCTCCCTCTCTCTCCCTCTCCCTCCCTCTCCCTCCCTCTCCCTCTTCCTGTCCTTCTCCTCATCCCCTTCCCCCTTCCCCTCTCTCTCTCTCCATCATCAATGTGATTATTATTTATGATAGTAATGATATAATTGCTGCTGGAGTTATAATTGCTATTGTTGTTCTTATTATCATCATTATATTATTATTGTTGATGAAATAGCTGTAATTAATTTTATTAAAATAATTACTATCACTACTACAATTATGATTATTACTTTTTATTATTATTATTATTATTATTATGAATTTGTTATCGTCTTTATCATATTTTAATATTATTACTTTTGAGGGAGTGGGGAGTGAGGGAGAGAGAGGAGGAGGAGTGAGGGGAGCGAGGGAGAGAGAGAGGGGGAGCGGAGCGAGGGAGAGAGAGAGGGAGGGGAGCGAGGGAGAGAGAGAGAGAAGGGGAGCGAGGGAGAGAGGGAGGAGGAGGAGAGAGAGAGAGGGAGCGAGGGAAAAAGAGAGGGGGGCGAGGAGAGGGGGGGGAGCAAGGGAGAGAGAGAAGGGAGCAAGGGAGAGAGGGGGAAGCAAGGGAGAGAGGAGAGGAGAAGTGAGGGAGAGAGGGGGAGTGAGGGAGAGAGAGGGGGAGAGCGAGGGAGAGAGAGAAAGGGAGCTAGGGAGAGAGAGAGGAGGAGCGAGGGAGAGAGAGAGGAGGGAGCGAGGAGAGAGAGAAGGAGGGGAGCGAGGGAGAGAGAGAGGAGAGGGGAGAGAGAGAGAGAGAGAGAGAGGGGAGGGAGAGAGAGAGGAGGAGTGAGGGAGAGAGAGAGAGAGTGAGTGAGTAGGGGGAAAAAGAAAGAGAAAGTTGAGTGGGAGAGTGAGAGAGAGACCAATTAGCTGAAGGAGAGAAAAAGTCAAAATACAATTTATATATGCTTATAAACATTTTTTTTCTTCTTCTTTAGTGTTTCACATCATAGAATATATTATTATTAGATATGTAGATACCCTTTATAAGCCCGATTAAAAAGAGAGGTCATTTTTCAGGTTTTCAGGTTACTGCAAGAGTTAGAAAGTCATGGAGTCAAACACTTTGAGAGATAGCTGTAGCCAGTGTGATATCAAGAACCTGAACTCTATCAGGAATATCATTAACTCTCTGAAGCTGCGATGTTCAGGGTCAATCTCCGTAGCCGTAAAGCAGACCAACACAGGAGAAGGGAAAGAGAATCTTCCACAAGAGAGGAAAACCTTGAAGATATCAAAAGAGCCAGAAAAAGGGAGTGGCATTTGCAACAAGAGTGTTACCCTCCAAGTGTCTCCACAAGCAGGCCTCGGGGCCAACCCCAAACACAACCAGAAACATCCAAGCCAGACGGCAGGAGAGGGATACATGAGAAAACATAAACCTCCTACAGCATCATCTCCTTTTCATCCAGTCTTCATGAAGAGTGATAACCAAGAGGCACCTGAAGCTGTTTTGGGAAGAATAAGAGGCCATGGAAGAAAGCAAGAAAGGACAAACACCCCATTAGAGCACAATATAGCCACAAAAGGCCATAATTCAGGATCTCCACATAATGGCAAGGTCAGTTATGGCACACAGATTCCATCCAGGACTTCAGTCTACACTCTGAATTCAAAGTCATTGCCACTCAACAGTGGTACTAAGATCAGCACTTCATCAAAGTGCCAATCAGATGTGTCACATTTGCTGAAGAAGTTGCAGTCTCATAATACTGTAAAGCGAGTATATGAAGGCAGTTTGGGAGACCAAGACGTGCAGCAAAGCATGGACCATTCCATACCACAGAACCAAAATCCAGACTTACCTTACAACTTAAAGTCAACACCTCAGCGACAGCAGCCCAAAAGGCAGTGCACGAGAAAACCTCTTAGTATAAGAAAGGTCATCCGCATCACGCTGCCGAAGGATATTCAGGCACAGAGAATCTGCTTTGTACTAAGCGAAGTTGCAAAGGCCTTTCACTGCAGTGTATCTATTGGAGAGGCAGTCCAAGATTTTTCAGAATCCAGAGGAATAGGAAATAGCCCTGTAGACCCATATGTGAATTATCCATTCTTGCAAGCGCCTAATGAGGCATTCTCCTGGTGCCATGCATATGCCCATAACTACCAGAGGGAAGGAAGATCACCTAGCAAACGCACCCAAAATTGTGAATGAACCTCTTGAAGTAAGAAAGCAAGTAAGATCCGTAATCAGTTGCTGTAAGAGGGGGCATTAGGCAAAGGCATACCCAGAGGAGATATTAAACATCAACCTCAAACAAGAGGCAACCGATTCTACAAAGAAATCATTCACTACGATGAAGATCTTGGAGGCTCTTGCTGGTTGTAGTGTCCTTGTTTGGACATTCCTTATGTTGGAACAGTAAACTGAACTTGATTGTATTTCCTAATTATTTGCATGTCAGAAATTTTTCAGCCTTTTTGTGTGATATGGTTATACAGTGGTTGATAATATATGTATGTATATATATATATATATATATATATTATATATATATATATATATATATATATATATATATATATATATATATATATATGATTGGAGTATTACAGTATATATTAATCAATATTACATTTTCTCTTTAATTTCAGTCCTAATACAGTATTCAGATAATTATTTATTTTGCTTGAGGCACTTGCGGAAGTCTTTGTTTTAATCATTAATTATTTCCTGATAAACCATTTTGTAATTATCTCTATCTTGTAATTATCTGCTTTACTGAAAAGTTACTCATTTGTACTTTTTCTGTAATCATATACTTTTTCAATATGTCTTACCATTTATTTCTTATAGTGGATGCCTTTTTCCAGTATTATTGTAACATCTTATTTTTACAAAGATATGAAGCCTTTGATAAAATTAGGCACTTTTACGTATAATTATATAGATTAATTTGGTCTGGAATTTTTACTTTTTCTTTTTTCCTTCTTTTCTTTTCTTTCCATATTAGTTATGAGGGAAACGTTAATTTTCTTTCGCTGTTTTCCCTTTTTTGTCTTCTCGTCTCCTGTCAATTTGTGCAAGAAATTTAAGACATAGAAATAAAACAATTTCTCCGTCTTGTGTCTTTTTTTTCCATATTCTATGAAAGAAAATTTTTTTGGTAATAGTAGTAAATTCATATGAACGGATGATAAAAGGGTGTGATTTTTGACATTAATGGTATAAATAATTATAACAGTGAGTGTGGGAATACTATTTGGATACCTGTAATACCCTTTAAATGTTGAAAGTATTATTGTTACTCTTATCAAGGATGCTTACCGTCATTACCACTATTTTTTTTTTTTTTCTTCTTCTTCTTCTTTCTATATTTAACAAAAATGTAATATCACATAAACTTTTCCAAGACAGCAATTCATACCAAACACTGATGGAGCATCAATTCTAAAGGCCAATAATTTGCACTTTTAAGTCTGTATGTGTGTGGGTGCCTATTGCATGTGGATGTGTGACCTCTTACATGTTTGGAATAAGATAAAATGTGACCCATTGTGGTGCCAACCGGAGAACTACTTGCCTTTGAACAAGAATATCTTACAAGCTTTATTCATGGTATTAAAATTCATAAGCCTATATCAAAAAGCCTTTGGAAAACAGGTTGAACCAACATGCCTCTTTTTCTGACTTTTACCTTCTAGGGCATCATTGGCAGATCATTAACTGGTTTGAATTAATTTATAAATTACTATTTGATGCAGAAGAGTGCATGATAATCAGTGCTACATTATTTCTGTGGTTTTATGTATTTGGGACAAGTTTTATAGTTCTTTTTCGTGTTTCATTTTTGCTATTTGCCTCCTTTTATTTGCTGCTTTCACCATCTACATACAGTACTCAATTTCTGGGTCACAATATCCTTCATTGGAAATGACAGAGAATGTCAATTTTAAATTTAGAAGCATTTGCTGTGAGTGTATACAAATTTACCTAGCTTTCTTAATGTTACCTTATTCTACTGTGATAAACCTTAAATCATCAGGGGCTAATGACTAACATGTGATAATAGTTATGTTATATTTATTGTCTAGAATTATGAAACATTTCATAACGCCATTTGGACTGCATCCAAGGGAATGTCCAGATATTTTTGAATGGGTGGCCCAGTTTAGGGGCACTGACTTATATGAGGGTAGCAATACTCACATACATGTCGGAATACCATTTGTGTTTCCATTATCTGTATCTGCATTCTGGCATTAGTATTCCACCTCAGGCAGGGCAGAAATCATAGTTTAAGACAATGGAGAGTCATCTCGGGTGGCAGGCCACCCTAAGGCAGTCCGTGGGCATACTTTTGGCTGCTTCATTCATGTCTACCTGACCACCTGTAAAATAATTTGTTCAGTTTCGATAATTTATCAAATATGTAAACTGGAATAATAAATTTCCATAAAACTCAAGTCAATACTCTTTTTTAAACAGCTCTTTGCAACATATAGTTTTCATTTTTTTTTTTTTTTTTAATATATCAATTTTGCAGCCTCATTAATTGGTAATTTGCCGCTTAAATGCATATATGTTCAGTAGTCTTGTGAAGTTGATATTGTTGCTCACTATGACCCCTTTATGTCTTGACTCTAAAATTAGGGGTGTTCGTTATTCTATTGAAATTTTCTAATAGCTGTA